ACACACAGACAACCCCTCGTCAATATGCGTTTTTCGCATTGCATTGCTGCAAAAAACGCATAATAATATTATTTTCTTAAAAATCCCGTTCTGAGAAAAGGGACAGAGAAGAGGAGGGGGAGGGGATCAGAAATCATCCATAAAGAATACGCATGATTACCGACGCTCTCTTGTACTATTGTCTTGTACTATTGTCAAAACATTCTCTTCCACTGCTTCACGACACCATAAGTACTAGAGGCAAATCCCAAACTGTGTAATTTATAATGCATATCACATAGGCAATCAGCAACTGTGGTACTTTCACAAACATGCCATTTCGCTGGAAAGAGACCCCTTAATACAGCTTTCGAGGAAAACCATAAGGACGATTTTTCTGACAAAGGCGGATCCAGGACGGGCCCTCGGAGGAGGAAGGGAAGGGGGAACACGGAGGGTGGGAAGGAAAGTCCCCTCCCATCCCGGAACTATGCAAAAACTAGGAATACATTTGTAACACAGCTGCTTAGAGTTACTTTAGGCTTTGGTTTACTTTAATTTTGGTTTTAGATCCAGGCTTTGAAGCACTGGTGCCTGTGCCGCTCGCGGGGGAGAGGGTGGAGTCTGTGTATGCCTGCTGATAAATCCTAAGGAAAAAACAGCATAAATGAAAAAAAAAATATAGAGATGTAATTTCAGGAAACAGTAGAAGGTGACTGTGAGGTGCATTACACATTCAACAAGCACTACACCAACGACGGCGATGAATTCATGCCCGAAGCTATCAAATCTATTAATATGGAGAAATGCAGGAGAAGAGTAGACATCCGATACGGGTACCAGCAGGACAGCATCGAAGGCTCAGAAAACTGCATCGCTGAACAGACGCGTGTGGAGACAGAATCCAGCACAGTATTTCATTACTACCTGAACGGGAATTCCGAACGATTTCTCATCCGTCGAGTGGACATCCACTCACATCACTCGTTTTCACCTTTCGAAAAACACACAATGGGCACTTTTGTGACCGGAAAACTGGAACTAATGAAGATTGTAACAGGGGTCAAGGAACAGCCGAGCCCGGCTAGCGAACACATTGAGAGCATTGAGTATTCAGCAGAACGAGAGATTCAAATTGAAAAATTCATCATGTTTGGTGACGACGAGTACAGCGACAGCTTGTTTCGCCACAGTCGTCGGAAGTACGAACAAATCGGGGAAATTATCGAAAAAATGATAATTTTAGTATCAGGCAGAGATAGCCAACAACAACTACATGTGACAAATTTGATGGACGAATTGGTCGAGCTACTGCGGATGTGTTCCAAGGAGAAAATCCAGAAAATTCACGGGGGTTTTTTCGAGAGCAGTTCCTGGTTCAAAGAAGAAACAGTAGCAGCTCAGATCCGAGACTTACTGCTGGATGGCCTGGTGCAAGCTGGAACCCAAAACACAATAGAGTATATCATCCAACAAATCAAAAATTACCAAATACCGCTGCTTAAATCCATCAAGCTTTTATCGCAGTTAGTAAAAATAAGGATCACTTCTTCCAAACACATTGATACTGTTCTTGAACTGTGCAACAGTGAAGTATGCGCGAAGAATCCAGTACTACGACAAACATGTCTTCTCACAGTGGGAGGCTTGATGTACACAATGTGTGTGGCACACGGGGATCAGCTTGCATCGCGATTGGCCACCGAGTTTTGTCCTCCGGCTATCAAAAAGAAGTACTACGACGTTAGTCTTCTTCAACAAAAACAAATCAGCATCAATTTGGTGACTAAGATTATATAGACTAGTAGCAGTCCTAGGGCGAGATATAAGTACCACTCAAAATCACAAAATAAAGAAAAAAAGAACCTGCTGACATTACGGAGCTTCAAAATTCACCAGCTCTAGCAGCCAGATGCCGATTCACGAGGAAGAAGGTGCAGGCAAAGAATCAGAAGTGGACGTGCTAAAAAAAGAGTCCGATGAGACATTCGTTTGGTGAAGAAACCAGGACACTCCTACCTTCCAAATCCGACAGCATTGGTCTAACAGAAATAATATCCCATTTCTGTCCATGAAACCAATGTAATGAGGTAGAACCCTACAGGCTTCCAAAAAATTTTGCAAAAATCTTCGTTTGAGGCAAAGAAGCAACTAAAAAAGTCAAATTCACCTGGGTGGGCGCCACATTTTT